TTTGGACAGGTTTTGTGGCCCAAACCGTGAATGTCTTCCACAACGCTTTATGTTGTTCATAGAACTATCGTAATCCTCTGTAGATTGTGGATCTATCAATGCAAATGACGATTTTTTTTTCAACAAGGAGAATTGAGAATTAACAGTTTTTATGTGCACTATGATCGAATGGGTTTTATTTTTCCAGAGGTCAAGATACCAATAGCAATAGTCGTTGTTGTGCAAGACAATTCTAATAAGGAACAGTATCAACAAGCTCAAGACACAATATCATGCTACGCAACTTATCACGGTTACCCATTCCATTATGTCATTGTTGCAGACAATACCACATTAACAGAAATCTGTCCTCAGAAAGACGTGAGTTTGTTCAAGTTTGAAGTCTTAAGAGAATTTGATGAACTTCCTTTCAGTTCATGTTTCAACGTCACTGCGTTGTCGCTCACATGATGAGCTTGTGGGACGAACAGTGGTTGCTCTTCATTGATGCGGATATGGCAATAATCAATCCTAATCATTTAATTGAGGAATACATTCCCAGTGATCCTGAAGTACACATAGTTTTCTACAACAGAATATTCAACCACGAAGTCATGGCTGGATCTTACCTTACGCGGTGATCTAATGCTACAGTTTATGTTACGAATGGTACCCTCTGCTTCCGAGAACTAGATGCACGTCGAGTGCAGACCACACACCACAAGTGACGACGGCCTCCAAGTAAATCTGGTACTAGTGATTCATAGTGATAGCTGATAGTTGGTAAATGATAGTTGTAATTAGTGACAACTGATAGAATGCAACTGCAACCGGGCAATCATTTCACTGGCAGAAAACATTTGCGTCTCCTGTGTTTCGTAGACCGCACTCGACGAGCATCTGGTTTCAGAAACAGGGGTAGATCTGAAGTCAGCTTAAAGTCGAAGCGTAGCGTGAAGAGGCATGGATGATACAGCAACATGAAGCTCGCGGTAGCAAGCCATACACCTCGACCCGCTCGCCTCGTAAGCAGGCCATTTCAAGGGCAACCATTTTGGCTTTTTGACTGTTCACAAATGCAAACATTGTGACTTTTTTCCAGAAATTCCCAATTACTCTTACAATTTCTTATTGCATTGGAGCAATTACGAATTCACAATTTACAAAGTTTTCATGGATCAGATAATGGAGCCGTTCACGTAAGCGCGTATTTCAAATTCTCTGCATTGGAAGACTTTCATCGTGTTTTGTGCATTTCAGAGTGCCATAGTGTCATACGAAGTTCCTGTCGAAGATGGTGCTCGCAAGGGCTGCGAAAAGTTTTGGTCATCTGCCAAGTGAGTTGGTTTCATTATCAGAAGAATTTGAATCTCTAAATGGCCTATGTTTCCAGGGATTATGATACTCTATCGATATATGAAGTTTGCATGCAGATGATTCTAATGTCCAATCAGCTGCGACATATTCTTATTTCCGAAGGTAAAATGGGGTTTTATGTATAGCTGCACGCTCTCATAGCTCTCGTAATTTCTTGGTAACTGGACTTGAATTTTTCTACTTATCAGGGGTCGTCGTCGTGGGCACGTGATGGTTGGCTCACAAACTCAGCTTGGAGCGAGCAAGACTTTATACTCCATGGTTGGCAGAGGAGGTTAGGCATGTTTCATAAATTTAATATGCATGCCACGCTGCACCAAGTATTGGAGGCGAAGCCTTAATTTCTAAAAAGAACGAAAGTTCCATATTGTTAATCGGTTGTATTGTCAGGCGAAAGGATAAAATGCGTTTTGCGCGATGGCATTCTCCTCTCGTGGATGCGACATGGAATTCGGCTTTGTGTGCTGGCCCAAATGCTTATTTTAATTGGAGGTATAACTTTTCAAGCAGTTATAAGATTCAATGTAGAATAATGCATGGAGGTGTAAGGTGACCCTCTTTGAACTTTTTTCTTAGTTGTTTCTGCACACAAAGGGCCACTAAACAATGATACAAAGAAGAATAAAACGAAAAGCTACTTCTTAGGCCAGAATGGGAAATATGGGACAAAATTTAACCTTCTCGGACCATCATATGTGTGCATATCCGTGGGTTTTTGTCGTTGTTTCGTGAGTGACCATAATCTCGCGGTAGTTTCAGAGGTAACCAAATATATGGTAATTCCTGTTTGAAAGAGCTGACTGATGAATTTGCTACTCAGGGAAATGGTGAATAAATCAACGACAATAATCGCTTCTCATGTGGTGGTACCGTACATGGTGCAGCATACGGTCCGCAATGGAGTTGAGGAACCCGGAAAGCAAACTGTTACCACCATAACTACCGCAACTTATCATTGTTACCGAACAAGTCGAAGATGCAACGATTAAAGGAATCCTTCACGGAAAAATCATGATTCTATTTCAGCCATAAATCACTGGCTTGAGACTCATTATCCACGATAAGAATGAAAAGAACAGAAATATTGCTTTTGTTTTGGTAAAAATTCGAAAAATCGAAAGGGCTGCTACGCGTTCAAAGTGCCCACGGACGTCTTTCACAAATGCTGGCGACGGGGATGCTTCCACTTGGTTCTTGGAGTGCCTTCACTAGAAACTCTTTCTGGCCTTCTGCTTTATTGCATTCACATCTTACACTTCTACTCCATCCCTATCGATCGATTTGTCTCTACTCTCCGAAATCGCGCGCTTTAACCCGATTCTTTCATTGCGTCGCCTGATACGTAGCCGGCCAAAGGCCAACTTCTTTCCATGCCTCGCCTTTGGCTCCGCCCGAATTACCTTCGATTGTCCATAGAGTGTAGTTTTTGTACGTTTGTTTCTCTTCAGAAACCGAATCTTCATGCGTGAAACTTTGTGTGCTGTTTCCAGTGATCACAACTGACACATTCATGTTAAGAAAGAATGCAAGAATTTTCCGCGAGGATTCCGTTTAATGCTCAGCTTGCTCAGTTCATCACCACGAAGAAGGAGAGCATTTAGTATGAAAAGACTTCTCATCACATATGGGCCGTCCTTACTCACTACAGAAATAGAATGTTAACAGACAGACAGGGAACTGTCCATAGCCCAGCAGTTATCTGAGCAAATATGACGCTTATTCAATTTTGTACTACGAAAAGGGAAGTGGGAGGAGTACGACAGAAGAAGGTCGACTTCAGCAACGCAACTAGCCTTGCCTATACCGAGCTGGCTAGAGTACTCATCTCTTTGATCAAAATCAAGCCCAGGCGTAGGGCTCATGATCACGTAGTGATCAAAACAAAACTTAGTTTCTTTTATCGGTCCCTTTTCTGGAACAGAAGAATTAATGGAACCACCCCCAAATCAGTCCAGCCGACAGTTTTTTTTTATCTGGTCCTGGTGCACCCTATCTGCGGTTTCTCTTTGGGGTCTATTCTGTTCAGTTATCTTGTCATGTGCATCTATCTCCGTCACTCTGAACTTATTCTGTACGATCTTCACTTTTGTAGTGGAAGTCTTTTACCTTTCGATATCCTAAACGTGAGATGATTTAGGTACAAAGACAGCTTTATCGAGAAGAACGAAGAAATCCAAAGGAGGCTGAATGTAACCATTCGGCAGGTTGAAGCAGATTTTCAATCCATCAAGGCAACGATACAGACGACTAGATGACAGTTCTCGATGAAAATTCCTGTTTACGTCAATTTATATAATGCTCATTGATGGCTCCATAGTTACTGCTGCATTTCGTCTGGCTCTCCAAACAAATTTGAAGGTAGAGCCCGAAATGGCACAGCTCAAATCATTGTTACTGCCTCCTCCTTCTCCTTCTGTGCCTATAACCCGTTCTATCTTCATGTCTTGTATTTTGACTTTAGCCTGATGGTCAATTGATCTGAAACATTTCCGAGCCATCCGGGACGAGCGCATTGAATTGTTTGTCATAATTAACATGTGCGTTGCCAGCATCCGTTGGAATCTGCTTTAATTTCATTGCGAGCTTTTGTTTTTCTCGTTTTTGTCTGAGCAAAATGTCTGGCCCATATATCGGCTTGTTCCCACAAGTCACGATATAAGTGGGCATTGTTCAATTACTTCAATTGTGAGAGAGCTAATTATGTTGCGCGTCCACAGAGGAAGTGATTAACTCTTTTCATTTTCACCTTTTCTCCTTAATCAATTCATGTTTGTTTGTGATTGTTTACTGTTGTCAATAATGTGCGTGTTTTAGTATTGTTTGTGTTCACTTATGATTTCCAAACTACTAATCGATTCGACTTTATTCTTCTTTTATCCCAGATGCTGTTATGCTCACGATTATGCGATCATTACTACTTGTATATATCAAAACTGTCACAATCTCAGGGTGTTTCTTAAGTGCCTTCATCATTAGATAATATAAAGATTGGTCTCACGTCTTCTTGTTGAATACTGGCTGACAATGCCTGCTAACTATCTTTCAAAGGAGTTAGATCGGCATAGAAGTGGAAAAGTTTCTTTCAAGGGGTTAGTTCAGTATGTAAGTGGAAATAGGGCGGAAGTGGTGTAGTGGCAAGTGGCACGCTTACCACGCGCGCGGTCCGGGATCGAATCCTGGGTCGTGAGTCGCCCGGGCCAACCAAGCCTTCCATCCCTCCGGGGTCGGTTAATTGGTACCAGACTTGTCTGGGAGGATAAAAACACTGACTTGTACATCGGCTGGCCCCCGCAAGTCATTGTATAGGCGCATTCAAACGCCACTACGAATGTACAAATGGAAGTAGAATGCGTGCCGCATCCCAAGGGATTGATCACAGGGAAAGCTTCAAGGTTTTATAAGTGGGAAGTAAGCGCAGACAGCTACCAGGTAAACCGCTTGAAACAGGATAAAAACAGTCGCCGTGAAAGACGTGGGGTCGGCTGTGTCGAAGGGAGAGGCCATGCAGTAGCAGAAGCCAGGTGTCATGAATAATTTGTTCAGTAAGTGGTCTGCCTCCACAAGCACGCCGCCCTTCCCTATCCCCCTACGGTCCCTCCTCACTTTCCGATGGTCAATGGTGTCAGTAGTGATCTTGAACCTTGGTACTACATGACATCCTTCCAAATCCCCTCCTTCCACCCAAAAAAACTCCACAGGCCTGTGGAGGCAGGGGGCCAAGTCTTGTGTAAATAGCCAAAGCTGCAAAATTTACGCTCTCCTCCACGGGTCTCTTTCTCCTAATTTACATTCCGCAACCCCTTCCTCCAATGATGCTCAAAAATTCCTGAATGTGGTCCCATCTACTCTTTGCTTTGACGCCAAAGCAAATACGACACCCGGGTGTCGCTGACTTATTAATCGTGACTCTTCTTGGGTCTTCTTAGCATTGGAAAAAACTTTCAAGGGATCTTCAAAAAAAATTTGGTATGGAAGAGGTGGTGTACTGCCTCATTTTATTGCTTCTGTTTCGTCATGTCATTGCCGAGAACCATACTTCAAAATGGGTAAGCTTTATTCATCAGAAGTCCCACTGGTCAATTTACATGATGCATTACAAATATATAATATAAGGCACAGTAAAAAAAAACTTATTATGCGTGCCAGTATTTCCGTATGCTTTTTATTGATTTTATTGAGAAATAGCGCTTGGCCTCACGAAGGAATCGTTCACTCATGTCACAAAGAATTCTTCGTCGAAATCGCATTCTGGAAGATGAGCCTGGGCCAAGTCAGTCTTCCGAGGCTTCCAATGACGAACCCATTCAAGTTGATGCCAATGAGGTGAGATGAATTCATAACGTTTTGTTCATAACACTTTCGGAACAAAGCAGTGTTGTATTATTCGGCTGCTTTAGTAGAGTTCTTTGTGACCATATAATGGGATCTATCAAGAAAATGCAGAAAGTGCAGAAATAGTAGTATAGTGACAATGGCATGCTTTACCACATGGGAGGTCATGTGCCATTACCATAATGAATGAAAGTAAAATGCTTGGCGTAACCCCAAATGAGGTTGAACAGCACTGAGTTCTCATCTTTATTCTGTTGATATCGATAACCAACAACTTTTCTTGAAGGTCCTGAGTCTGCTGTACTTCAGAATTTTCTTCAAGTACCATATTTCAAGGACATTCTACAGTGTGCCAGAGAGTTCTCATCAGCTCATCAGTCTTTAGCGACACTTATGGTCAATATGGGCGTTCTTACGGTGATTCTATGATTTGACAATGTTTTGGCTCATACATATTACCCAAATAGCTCTAACCTGAAATCGATCATTTTCAGAAGAAGAAATTTTACCTCAGCTTCATTCATGAAGTGGTTAGTGTTCACCTGAAAAGTGGGTTGTTCAGGAATATTAATCAGTTGTGGTACATTACTTTTAGTTGTGGGACATTACTTTCTTACTAACTTAATGACTGCTTCTTTTCAGGAGATCCTCAGACAGTTTCTAAAATTGTATGTTCTGCAGAGGAGCTAGATGGTCTTGTTTCATTGTTGTTCTCTGAACTGAATCCTCGCTTACTCGAGGTAAGTTTCTTATTTAGTTCTGGTTTGATTGATTTGATTTTTGATTGTTAACTGTTGTTTTTGGCCGCAGTTCTCCTTGCGAATGTTTCACAAGAATGGTTGCAAATCAATTCCATTTCTGTAGCGGCTCCTCCTTTATATTCGGGTAGAAACATTTTGGAATGACTTTTTCGGAGTTCCAAGGCGAGTAGTGTAGCGGTAAGTTGCATTGCTCACTATGCGCGCGGTTTCGGCATCAAATCCTGAGTCGCACACCGTCCAAGCCAACTAAGCCCCATCCCTCTGGAGTCTCGTCTCCTAACAGACCTGTCTTGAATGATAATAACCGAGTAGTATAACGATTCGGAACCGCAAGTCATTGTATACAAGCCAATTCCCTTCCAAATGCCACACTGCTACATGCTGAAGTAAAATGCGTAGTGCATCCCAAAAATGTTGATGTTGCAATGTTGTTGTTGTTGAACAATGTTGCATACCTCATCCTTTTTATCCTATGTGAAGTCTTCTAGCCATCTAAAGTGATTCGGAAGAGTACATAATAGATAACATTTTTCCTGTTAAGCTTGGACTTCGTCTTACATCCCGACCGATGAAGAAACAGGTCGGGAAATGGTAGTGTTGGTGAGTGAGGATGTGCTTCCGAGGGACATCAGCAGCATAAGCGGATTCTCGTCAGTAAATTCATGAAATATTTACCTCCGCGATTCTGTACTCATACGTATTTTCAACTTTTATTTGTACTAATACATACTTACTTTCAAAATGTCTATTCAGAGCAGACGAGCTCCTGTTGTTTTCACGGTATATTCCACAGTTTGTTGATGGTGGTGGTCAGTGTGAGAGCTCTTGGGCACTCAATGAGGCAACCAAACTTCCGAACCCAATAACGCTTGTGAAAGCCCAAAATTTCTTGGACAAACTCGTCAGCCGTTGGCTGGATTTCCGAGGTATGGAACTGTCTCTGTTTCGATTTAAATTATATTGTTAAAACTCCCACTCCCTGATCCGTCCATTGATGAGAAATCACGTAAGTCAAGGGGCAGCAAATGAAACTCCTCGCATAGTTTGGTAACCTTGGAAGATACCCTCCCATACGTTTTCGAGAAGGCAGCTGAATGTGTTTTCGGCTCGCAGAATGGCCAGCCGGGGAGAGATTTCGTCAAAAACTAAAGTTTGAAACTTGACACTACGGTTCCATTTGACCACCTCCGCTGAGCTGGAGGGTTTGACAGGACTAGACGAATTTAGATCTTCCAGGCTTCACCCCTTCGCATCTTTCCTTTCCCATCCTTCCGTGATGTGGTCTTATGTGACAGATATTGCAGTACTGTCGACGCTCGTTCACGAGTACTCACAACGTTTAAATAATTGGCTCACCTAGTCCTGAGGTACCGTCAAGTAGATATGTTGTTTCCTTGGCTGGACACTTCATATCATATTAGCGGATAATGGCGCATGTTGCGATGTTCTTCAATCTGAATCACGTCTGCCGTATGATACCGTTGGTGGCCTGCCATGCCACACAACCTGTTACGATGATTGCAGTTGCGACACGTCAGGCGTGGGACAAAAGCTCTCAGGCCTTCTGTCAATCCCGTGAAGTTAGAAATTCAATGTTTGTAGGCGTTTATAGTCGCCGTGCTCTACACCAGTGCTTTCCTAATTTTTTTTTTTTTTTTTTTTCCCCCCCCCCCCCCCCCCCCCCCCCCCCCCCCCCCCCCCCCCCCCCCCCCCCCCCCCCCCCCCCCCCCCCCCCCCCCCCCCCCCCCCCCCCCCCCCCCCCCCCCCCCCCCCCCCCCCCCCCCCCCCCTTTTTTTTTTCCTTCCCCCCCCCCCCCCTCTTTCTCTTTCTTTCTTCTCAAAATGCTTAGCTCTGTTTTCGTTGACAGAAAGCCCATGGTATGTGCAAGGGAACAAATATGATTCGCGTAATGCTCCACTTAAATACTCCTGAGCCAATGCTTTTCCTCTACTGTCATGGTGGACATTGCTGGGCCAACCCTTTTGATACAGATAATCGCTGCTCACCCCCCCTCTCTGTCATCCCGAAATCCTGCCGGAAGAGACGCACACCACAAAACATCGACTCGATCCTACCCATCTATTCACGAACGAGATCGCTTTCAACCTAATTCAGCGATACCAAATAGGTCCACGACCTTGAAATGGGAAATAGTCTGTCACGCTACACCCTCTCAAATCAACTCATAGTTCACATACCCCCCCCCAGATCATTTTGGTTTTACCATGATTAGCTTTTTGCAAAATGGCTGAAATCAAGACTAGCTTTTGCAAAGCGAATCATTTTTTTCTGGGCAGAAAGGCGACACCCTCTGCTGCAGCCGGCGTGCACTAGCAGAACTAGAGCCGTCACTCCACCAACGAGAACATAACGGCTGTAGTATCACTGCATTTATTCTGTGCCAGCACAAGCCTAGCTCGTCTCGGAGTTTTTGGTTGCTTATTCGTCGCCGTGTCTTAGGCACACGTGCTCTTCCCAATGGATGCAGCCTCCAGAATTCTGGTACACAGAGCACACGCCACGACCACAGGATGTAATCTCTGTCGTTGAAAGATGAGAGACCATGTGCAAAATGGACTACCAGTGGAGAAACATGGGAAGAAACTATTAGGTTGTCCCATAATTAGTGAATCTCTTTAAATTTATTGCTATAAAAAATTCGAAGAAAAATGGTAAAGGCGTGGAACATGTTTTGCAAAGTAGCACCCACATTCTCCTACCTGAGCATTTGGTTAGCCCATTTACACGCTGCCTTACGTGGCTATTTTACATCAATTTTTCTAGAACCTATTTTGTGGATTCCTTCTTCGTCACTTCTGGTTAGGATCTTTCAAACGCCAGACAATGTAGTGGATCAGTCAGCAGATAGGCGAGGAGACACTCCTCAGTCCACGGTTCACTCAATTCCTGGTTTGGTTTTTTCGTTTGGCGATGGCCCACACTCCAACTACCCCTCTACTGGCAATCTTGCTGCTTGGATCTGGACAAAGTAGTCACCTATTCTGTCAGAGCGTATCCGACTTGTTGAGATGATGGAATGTAGCGGGAGTTCTCACAGCAAAAGTCCTCTAAGTTCGGCACTTCTGAAATGTTGGTGAACCACGAAAGGAATCCTGCGCTGAGAACCACCGCCCAGTAACACTAGGGTCACTGAAGAAGGCAAACGTAGACAGCACAGTGGCAACATGTTCAATCTGAAAGCTAAGCAATTCAACAGTCGGCTTTTTTTTTTCTGGGGTCGTTTAACCAACTTTGGGAGATTATTCAGAAAAAGTTGGTGACTCTTAGGCCAACAGTTCTTTCAGTTTCGTCGTGTATATAAGTATCCTCATACCAGCTAAGGACAACCTTATCTCAGGTCCAGCGCTTTCCTGGATCAAGAAATTTTACGCTAAGTGATACGACCTCAAACCCGACTTCCGGTCTCTTCGTTCAAAACGCCGCCCGCAGTTTCAGAATAATGACATAGCAGGCCCCGATTCACCATTCCGCATAAGAGAGCCCCCGGTACATTAATAGACTGACAGAAGGTGCATCGTTGGATGAGCAGGACTCCCCGAATAACAAAAAGAAAAAAAAAATTCAAATTCAAAAATACCCAAAGTGATTCACTAATCATGTTACACCCTTATATGTTGGGAATTGCCTACATCTCCAGCGGCGAAGTACAGCTGTGGGTCCTGTTCAAAGCGGGCGCAGAGGCGGGGAAAAGTGGGTAAAGGGTGGCGAAAGAAAGGAGATTTGGTGAGTGGCAGGCCGAGGGGGTCCGGAGTTTGCCACGAAGCACTATAAAATACGATGGCCTGTCTTCATACACCCCATTGCATCCCGGAAAGTCAGCAAGGATAAAAGCCCTAGTTTCTTTGGCCCCCCCCCCCCACCCCGCTTATCCGCGAACCCCACACAACCCGCCAGCGTAGTTCGAACTCTTTGTGGACCCGGCTTTTATACAATTGGAATATCCTGCTCAATGGCCAACTTAAATCGTCTAATGTGGCCTTCACCGGATGATAACCAACTAGCAACTTTGCTGTCCTATTTGTTCCCCGACATTTCTTTTTGTTAGAGTGCTCTTCAAAACCTCTCTTTGTTTCCAGAAAAGACCTAGCAGTTATTTGTGGCTCATGCGACGCACACATACATCGACATTGTTGGTTAAAGTGAGTATTTTTGGTGCTTCTGTAGATTTTCATACATCATCGAACCCAAAACTACGTTCTCTTGAATGATCTCATTGGCTAGATTCCCGACAATATGCTTCACAGGTACGGCATCTGAGCAAGCTTTTGAATAGGCTTTTTCTCGTCTCGCTCACAGCATATCATCGCCCTGCACTCCCTTCCGCGAATGATTCCGCCATCCGCCGGCTCATATCTAGCGGGGCGGCTCACAGTCCTCATCCACGACAACAACCAGCACCCTATACTCCAACGTTCACGCAATAAAGACTTTAGTAGCTCTATCTCACTTACTCTCTCTCTCTCTCTCTCTCTGTTGCTCATTCTCTGCCTCAACAATATCATACCACTAAATCACCGCGAGGTACATCATAAGGGGTTAAATAAAACCGTAAGTCTCAGCTTCACCACAGGCATGAAGTTCTAGGGAGAAAGGACTCGTTAACGCACACAAACCAGAAAGCGGGTTGCATTTATGTATAAATTTTGCGCTCACAAATATTCGACTATATTGGTCGGCACTGCCATACACAGGCTCTTTTTAATATCGCCCCTGAAGCTAGACTTGTTCCAACCCCCCTTTGCGTTCCTTTCTTAGAGCTGTTTTGACAGTCGTGAACAGGCGAGGGAGCTTCTGCTTATGTTTGTTGAAGCAAAAGCAATAGACTTTATCAACTCAATCCCTCCTTGAATTCCTCTGATCCAGACTTCTCTTACAGTGTAGCTTATCGCGTACGATTCAAGCCCAGAATCCGAGAAATGAGACCGCTTCTTCGCCCGTCGATTTTCGTATTGATGCGACACATACCTCGCTGACCCTCTGGTCTCATCTGTTAAATGGCTACAGTCTCACGGCGAGAGGGTGGAGGGGTACAGGAAGGAAGCAGTGGCGCGTGTATGGCTCTGCTAGGCCGCTGGAGGCATACACTTCGCTGCGGAACGTGCGCCATTCCGCACCTTTGGGGCCTTCCCATTATACGTCTTGCCCCTTCTTAAGCCTTCTCGAAGAGTCGTCCTTAAATGACTCACTGGAGCTAAGCCTGCTCACAATTAATCCATCTGCTATGATCTTCCTTTAGTACTGCAAAAGCCAAAAGAAAAATAATCGTGACATTTTTTAATCTTTGTTAATTGAGTCGTATTTAGATACGCAGCCAGTTCCGAAGCTGACGACATATCGTGTCCTAGAAGAGGATCTGGAGGGTGTGATCAAATGTTTTCAAAGAGTGATGTAACGACAGGATTCAATTGAAAGTCGTCATGGTTCCAATATGCGAATAATCCATTGCTAGGAGCTCTCAACCTCATTCCTTACTGCCAGCGATGCCATTTACCTCGAATAGCTCTCGAAGCTTGTTTTGGAATTAGGTGCTATTTCTGAATAAACTGAAGCTTCAGTGATTTGGTTTACCCTACCTGAAACCATGGTTCAACCACTGCTATCGTTTTTTTTTTACCAAAAGGCTACGAAACTATATTGCATTACACGAGGCACCATTGGGCGCATATCCTTTGACACCCACAAATTACAAGTTGTGGTATGTTGGAATTATCGCCTAGAGCATCTCCACAGACAAGCATGCCAATCTTTCGCGCACAAAGCCAGATCTCATCTTCGAGTGCACATGTAGTCGGGCAATAGTGGACAATAATATACGGCGTAATGATACCTTGAGCATGAGTATGGCCTCGTCTAACCACCTGGTTGGTTGCTTGAGCCTCGCTACCGAGCGCTCGACCAGCTGTGGAACGATGCTTGAGAAATGGTTTTAGTAGAATGTTGCAGTACATCCTGTGATAGTTATGTTACGCGTGGGAAAGATTTTGGTATTGGAAGGTTTTCACCAGGAAGACGAGTTCCATCTATGTATCAATTGATCGGCCCGAACGAAGGTCTGTTTCAATGGCAAAGAACGTATCGTACTTTACAGATTAGAGCGGCAGCGTGAATCTCAATTAGCAGTTTCGTGACGGACAAAATCGAAAGTGAGTAACGCAATCGACGTTGATGGGTCTTTTGTTCTGCGCCACGCATTCTCACTCCATTCAGAATCTCGTGGGATTTTGAATGGGATTTGATTGACCTATGGAGCCTAGGTAGCGGACGCACATTGTGATTTTCTGATCTCAGAGCGAGAGCTGGCCAGTTCATCCATCCTGGAGGGATGGGGATTTTGGTTGAACTGCGCGTTAAGCACCGTTATTTGTCGCTACACCACTTCCGCCTTCGTGGATTTTATTCATACACTTCCACCATTCGGAAAAAGACACCGTCCCTCAACTACTTCCCTGTTTTTAGCGGAGGCCAGGTTGGGTGAGAATCATAATTTAGCAGGTGCCATCTCTTCAAGACTGGATGCTGTTCTGCTAAAAGTCGTTTCAAGTATCCTCTTTTGGCCAAAACATCAGCTAAGGAGGGTCACAATTCTGTTCTGATTATGAATTGCAGCGATCTACGCAAAACGTCTAGCAATTGGATTGGTTGTAAGCCAGTAAATGTAAGTAACTGGTTTTTAAGCAGATTGGTGAACTTTTTCGCGAAGCGATACGTGCAATGTCCCACACTGATGAACAAGAGCCAGCCAGTATCATTGCACGTGCAATAGCAGATATCGCCATTATTGGCTCGCAACGACATCGCGAGCTGTGTCTGGAGACCAGCGGTAATGTTGGCTTTTTGTTGTTACCTTGTCAAGGGATTAATCAGCGGTTATTTCAGGGACAAGGAATATGTCCGAATTTGCTGCTCGTCTGGAACAGTCACTAAGTCGATTTTTACTCCATGACGATAATAAAGGAACACGGTCAGTCTGGCTTCATCTTTGAGTCGATTATGATTATAGCACGTGCATAGAGGAGGCTAGTGCAGACAAAGGGCATACAGCAGTGCAAAACCTTTTTTCGACCTCACGCAGCCACAAAATAAAGCATTGCCTCAAATCCACAAACTGTATTCAAAATCGAGTGTATAACACGGTATGCAACACAATTTCCCAGAATCGAAAGTCACATTTGAAAAATACGATTTTTTTCTTTATTTCGGCACTTCGAAAGGTTGAAAATCCAAATTCCGTACATCTCGAGCATACATAATAATTTGGTAATTTTTTGAGTAGTCTATATTCCTACGGTGACTCTTTCATTGACATCAAATTGATTAGAACACCATTTTTGGACCCTTGACATCTTACGAACTAAATAAAATTGTTCGGTGGAAATCTTTACTGAATTGGAGAAGGAATGCGTATTGTGCAATACAAGTCAGTCCAGATCTTGACTTGGTAGACATAACAGCATTTTTCTGGGTTTAGGAAGGCGGCAATGGGAAGGAAGTTTTGCATCGGATCGTGGTCGTGGTAGGTCAAGATGGTAGCCTTACGCCGAGAACTCTCATATTCCGCACTGAACTGCTAAGATAGAACTTCTTTCTGTATCGCGGACCATATGGGTTAGACAAATCTCCTCTATAGAGCTTTTCCTGCGTGAGTTTGTTTAAAAATTCAATAACACCTGATAAATAAACTAAAATTATCAAAGACATGCCAGCCTTGAAGGAATGTTACAGTGATGCAGAAACCGAAATTTCCAAATTTTGACGCGCCAATTCCTTGAAAGGGATCATTTTCTCCAATTATTATTTTCGTCTTAGGGAAATTATGTTGCACATCGTACCACGCTTTTTGTAGATAATAATGGATATGAGACAATTTTGTTGATTACTAACCGCGCTAGAAAAGTTCCCAAGTTTTCGACCAGTCTTAGGGTTCTATTCCGAAAAGAGGGGTGTTGCAGCACAACATTCTGTTCGAATACTTGAACAGGGCCTACTTTTGGCAGCGGGCAAGATTTTGCGTAGCCTCTCACTTAAGAGCGTTTTTATGATATAACTTTCATGAATATTTTAATTCAAGTTGCATAGAACAGGTCGAGGCACACAGAAGATCGTCACTTTTCGCGTACGTCTTTAAAAGCGCAGAAGCTCGGAGATTGCAGTGAAGAGCAACAGAATACAGTTCCTGTGAGTGTTTTAGTTTTTGAACTCTATCTACAAAAGATTTCATGTGCAGTCCATATCTTGAAGTCTGATTAGGCGTGGCGAAGGGTTTGACGTGGCGGCCGCCGCATTTGATAGAAGTTGCGCGGATAAGCTGCTTCCAGCATGCTCTGCTGATATCCAGCGGAGTATGTTAGAAACAGCTTATCCACACGGCTTCTATCAAGTGCGGCGGCGGCCACGTCAAATCCATAGACACGCCTAATCAGACTTCGAGATTTAACGACTTCGAAGATGTATACTGTACGAGGCCTTGGTTTTCGGATAAAAATACAGCAAAAGCTCTACGATGAAAATTCCACAAGGCGGGAAGTGTTGGAAAATGCTGGTTTTGAAAAGGCAAATGCCCTGTTTGACAACTTCCTGTCCACTGTTGCCTTACTTAGGCGATTGGATGTGTTGTTGATGGTTCGCTTGGACAGAAAGCAATTTTTCCATCTATCGCAGCGCGAAACATTCCGCTGCAGAACCTCAGGTCCAGCGGTGATCACGAGTGGACCTGGGATTTCTGGAACGAAAAAAGTTTCTCGCTGCGAAAAACGAAAAAGTCGCTTTCTATCCGAACGGACCACACCCAGTGATTTTTCATGAAACATCAAAGCAAACAGTCGCCAAAAGACGCAAAAAATCTGCTGTTTTAGATGAATGCTGGCGACTTTTCGTCGGCGGAGGAAGATGCAATTGAGGGGAGCTCATCCGCGATTGCCAAACAGGTACAATAATTTTAATTGGTACTCAAGCAGACGAGAGCGATTTTTTCAACCTATTACCTGTATGGAATCTACATTTTGAGGGTGCTTGCTCCTTGAACTCTTCCCAATAGTGATCTATTGAAGCACAGGGCCTCTAAAAGTGCATTTTTGCTTGTCAAACCTTTTAAAGTGCTCTGGAGTGCGGAAAGAGAGCTAAAAGTATGCATTTGAGAAGGTCAATTTTCCTATTAACAGACAGTATTTTCCATTGGTCATAACGCAAACAGTTGGAAAAAGAGGCTAAAATAGTAAATTACTGTTTTATTAGTTGCTCTATAAGTGGGACTCATAACGCTAATGTTCTACTGTTAAGGAAGAGTTATTCGACACTCCACCAAGCAGCTTGATCGTTGATGTGTCTGGTTTCTCTCCAGAAGCAGACTCTTTGCCTTCGACGATAGATCCGACTACTGTTGGTTTTCTAAATTGTGCTCATCCTGAGCAGAGGTTGAGAAAACTGATGTTTCAAGGATTCATGTTCATCGTTCTTGTCGAGTGATTTCTCTGATGATGAGTTTTCTGGAGAAGAGTGTCGAGTGCCACCGCTTGTTCGAAGGTTTTCAAATAGTTTGAAAGTGAACGGTCAGCTTAATGAACTTGGATCAGCTGCAGAGAAATGCTCTTCTGCTACGAGTCTGGTAAGTTCCGATTCTGTTTTATTCCGTATTCGATTTGGAGTCA